CATCAGATTTTCTGAGCCACAGTGAGTTCTTACGTCCAGCATGTTCTTCCAGGCGCTGGTTTTGCCGCTCAGCAGAGGCTCATTGTGAGCCAGTCCGGCGTTGTTGATGCAAACATCCACGCCTTTGTGCTGCGCTTTGATGGCTGCGAACATGGACTGGATGTCCTCCGCGTTGGTCAGGTCGCACTTCATCGGGATCAGGACGCCACTGTGGCCTGCGTTCTTACACTCTACAGCCAAGGCCTGAAATAAAGTAGTAGTTGTGGTTTTACTTTGTGCAAACATTTGGCTGGAACTTCTGGCAAAACAGACAATGGGAACAGACAATATAGATTCCTTGTGCAAAATATATTTTCTGTTTAGTGGTGGAAGTTTAGATTCAAGACAATTCCATAAAAGACGTGGAAAGCTACACACATCTAATGTGTAATCTTACATCTGCTTCCTAGTTTCTAAAGTTAATTTAGTCAATTCTGTCTTTTTCTTAGGTGACGACAATATTTCAGTTAGTTAGTGGTGTGTGAAATGTTTCAGCAAATGTTTGGTGAACATCTGATTACACAGACAAATAGACTCCAACTATAACAGCACCCTCGCTCTGCCCAAAGTTGTCTCTATAGCCAGTTTATTCTCAACCTGACTCAAGACTATTTGCCAGATTTTGTTTTGGGCTAAGGAAGGGGAAATCCTAGTGTTCGGCCCACTGGATTATTTTAAAGGGGCCCTATGGTGTCCCTGGGTTCAAAGCTGTCTTCTTAGGCTGAAGGGAGTAGTAGAATGGGAATTGTATTTCTTTGTTTTGTTCGCCAGTGTATCCTGAGTATATTTTTCTTGGGGAGCACCTTGATATATTTATTTATCTTACTTTTTATTTCTCCCCCAATCAGTCTACTTTACTCAAACATTTCAGCTAAGAGGTTCCCAGGACCAGCATCGTCCTCTGTTTTTAGCTGGGGGTTTTCACCCCTGTATAACACAATGTTTATACAGAATATTTATTTATACTGTGATTACACTTTCTCTTAAATCAGGGAATTTTTGCACTTTGTGAACCAAATAAAATACATCTAACTGTTAATTCTTACAAAATAATCTGTGTAAAGGTCTGGTGAAAAGAGAATTTGAGGTTCTACAACTCACTATACTTAGTGGTAATTGTACCTCAGGTCACCATCTGGCGTTGCTGGCAGGATTGTAAGGCAGTGGGGTGTGCTTGTAGTAGTTCAAATCTAGCTGGTTCATTGAATTGGACAGGGTTAAAATGGATTAAATTTGTCTTTGGTTCCCTTTTTTTTCATGAAAGGAATTCTCTAAGGAACCGTGGCAGATGAGAACTGAAGGATACAAGTCGGCATCTTCAAGAGGAGAATCAGAAACTTAAAGAAAAGCATATCAGATTGAAATTCTGTACCATCTACTTCTGGTAGAACTAGATTCCACTTCTGCTAGAACTAGATTCCCCTTTCTTCAGCAAAAGTGCCAGTTATAGAGCTGCTGTCTTAGACCACTTTGCAGGATTTTTATTTTTTATTTTTTCTAGAAAACAGAAAGAGGGTGAATCATTGCAGGAGTTTTCCCATCCACTTTTTTATTTAACAGAAAAGATTATTGGAAATGTTGTTGCTAATGTTGCCATGCTTTCAAGAGACCAGTTTGCTGAACATGTTCATAATCCTACCATATGTAAAAAGTTGTAAAGGCTGATTGGAGACAATCCAGATTTTTACACTTTTGGACATAAGGAAGAAAAGCAAGCAGGTGGGAACAGGAGGGACAGACAGCCGAAGCGAGAAAAAGGTGCTATTCTGTGCCATCGTATTGTGCAGTACAATTCCCAAAGTAGCAGGCCAAATTTAGAAGTTGTTCCAAGAGCTTCTGATTTGTCAGAAGTAAAGGAAATGTGTTAAATCAGCAGGAACAGATTAACATGCTCTCTCAAAATCTGTTGATCGTACAACCCACCTCTAGGTCCCCACAACCGAACAGAATGACCCCTACCATTTGTGGGAGTTGCCAAAAACCCGGTCACATTGCCAGAAATTGTTGTCAGCCAAGGGATGAATCACATCTCGTAGCATCCCATTCTCATACAAGGAGAGGCTGCAGCTGCATATCAGCAGGCGGGAATCTAGTTCCTTCTGCTTTGTGGAGCCACATTTCAGAAGAAGTAGGTCATGGCTGAAGTGGTCCTGAATACAAGTGTTAGGATTCACTGCTGGTTGACACAGTACTTTGTCTACCCATGAAATCCCTCTGCTAAATAAAGTACCAGTACATCAGAGGTTTACTCTTCCCTAAGAGTATGAGGGTGTAAAGGCCGAGCTGTTGGATAGTCAGGTGATCCGTGAGAGTAGAAATACTCCAGTTGTAGTAGTAAAGAAGAAAGACGGCAGTATCCGCCTGTGTTTTGTCAACTACTGAATGCTCAACAGTAAGATCCGCGGTGAACACAGGAATCCTTGGATGAGCTGCCAGAAAAAAAGACAGAAAAAAGAGCAAAGTGCAACAAACCTGAATTTTGTCCAGGCTTCTTGCGCAGCCCACCACCGTCATGCCGTACTGGACCAGTTCTTTGGCGATGGTCGCTCCAATACCGACCGAAGCTCCAGTCACCAGAGCCACTCTGCCCTTCCAGCGGTCCATCACAGCTTCACGGTAGGTCTTCACTACAGGTAACGAGGACAAGTGAAAGAGACAGAGGGAGCCGGGAGAACACCGGGTTCTTTATAGTCCGGAGTTCTGCTGCACGGAGACGCCCCATTCTGCGCGGTGCGTTCAAGGCCACTCCTCGCTCTAATGATGAATGGATGGATGGACGGATGTATGGATGGATGGATGGATGGATGGAGAACCTTTTGATAAAGTATGTGAGAGTTGAAAGGAAAGAATTGTGTAACCCACCACAGCATAGTCATTGTAGACTCAGTACGTTTTGGTATTAACAGCCTGGATCTCACGCTCTAACAAGCAGGATTGTGCAAGTTCCGACTTTAGCAGAACGAGCACAAAGTTCAATCAAGCTAAATCAGGCTTGGAGTCATTAGTCATAACAGTAAAGAAGATAATAGGTAGGGAGTGCTGAATAACTGAAGAAAACATCAGTCATGTAATATGTAAAAATTACACCATCAGACTGACTGAAATATACATTTATGTGCACAATTTTGGTATTTTTGAATATCAAAATTAAAATAATTCACATAACAATGACAAATTAACAAAATTAAGGATAGTATCAGACACATAATTTTTTGGTTACAACAAGCTTGTTCTTCATTCAGTGAAGTTACTTAAGAGTATCCAGAGAGTAAGAATATTGATGCTTCACAATAAAATTACTCCAGTAAAAAGTACAGCGTATTAAAAAATACTTCTGAAAGTATACATATTTTTTTTTTCTAAAAGTTACTCAAGTAAATGTAACTAGCTACTACCCAACTCTTGTTCACCAGACATCAGCATTGGAAAATATTAAACAAATGCACAAATGGCTTTGTGTATTTGTCTAATCTTACATTGTGTTCTTAGGTTTCCCATAAAGCTGATCTCGCCTAATGCTTTCTTGTCATTTTATTAGAGTGTAAATGATGTTTGAAGTGTAGTTGCTCAAATTTGGAATGTTTTTATTCTCTCCATGTTCTCTCATAATTTTTTTTGTAAAAATAAATATCTCATAAAACATCTATTTGTGCGTGCCTACCCAGCGTCTGTGTTGATTTTTGTAAGCTACTTTGCCATGCAAAAATATTCAGGCATCCTGAACCTTTCCATGCTAAAAGTGTTTCCATCTCAGTTTTGCAAAGTAAACCAATTTTTATATGGCCAAAAAAAGAAAGAAAAAAAAAAACACCTCATAGTATCACCAATAATTTTGATAGTTATGTGGTCAATGGAAATGCAATTATATGCTGCATTTTCATTATGCAAAACTTTGACAATATGGCACGAATGCCAAAAAAAAAAAAAAAGAATTTCACAATTGTGGCGTTTCCATTAAATGAAAGACACAATTAATTTCATATGTGAATAAGAAACTTAACGCTCTAAATTATTAAGAACCTCCAACGAATTTGGTTTGGTTGATGAATTGTTTGTTTCCATTGCAGTTTTGTGAGACAAATTTTGATAAAGACAAAAAAAAAAACACTTCATCTTTGGTGTCCAATCTTTCTATAACAAAAATGTGAGTTTTTTTTTTAAATTAGTCTGATTCCATTAAGCAAACTTGTTTTCAAAATATAAAATTGTGCAATTATATGGTCAACAGAAATACAACTAGTGAACCTTACAGCTGCTTTCCTGATTAATGCTCTCCTTCCTGCTTTAAACTTCTTCATAACTGTTTCTATTTGTCTTCACGATGTTGTTTGTCCGACAAACCTCTGAGGTCCTTCGGAGATCAGCTGGATTTACTATATTATCCATAGTTGACCCACAAATATTAATCAATATGATTTCTATGGATTTAACTAACTCGAAAGGAGTGGAACAAAAATGCATGTGACATCTCTTAGATTTTTATTTCAAAATCAAAACATTGACTCCTTTCCATTGGTTTGGGATGTCAAAAGTGATAAAATGTGAAATTTGTGGCTGAAACTTGAGAAAACGTGGAAAAGTTCAAGGTGTGTCGCTGCCCATGGAAAGAACTTTAACGGCATTTCTGAAGTGATTAAGTTTCTTTCTTGTAAAGTTTAGGTGGAGTCTAATAGTTATTGAATTGTGCCATAATTCAACATCCGCTATCAAAGGCAGATATTGTTGTGGAGTAAAAAGCTTTTATCACACTAATGATTAATTTGCTGTCACTTTCAGCTGTGTCATGCTTAAGCAGCAGCCTTTAAGGGTGTACTAGTCTATTCATTCTAATTAAATAAAACCCTTTTACACGCTGTCCCTTGTTATGTAACCAGCGGGAAAAAAAAAACACACATAATGCAGTCTCTTTAATCTCAAAATCCATTGGAAACGTGCTGCACGCAGAAATTTGGATCAGTTATTTGAAGAAACATTTTAGTTTATATTTTAGCTGCATGATAGAAGAAATAAAGGGGGCTTGACATCCCTTCAGCTAAGATCTGGATGCACTCTGGGGTTGGAAAAAGTCTTGTGAGGTGCATGCAGAACACCGCAGGAACAAACGATTAGGTACGGCTGAAGTTAACAAGCTTTTAGATGTTCTATGTGCAGAGAGGGGGAGATGTGAAGGCTACAGCTGATAAAATGGTGTCTTTTGTTGCCTGATGTACTTACCAGGTGAAGCACTTTTAACTGTGTTGTTGCTGAAATGTCCTGTACAAATAAACTCAACCACTAAGAAAAGTACAAAAAGGTAGTTGCACCAGTCGTGCAGGAAATGCAGCACGATTCATCGGTACATCCATCACCTTTTGAGCAGTTTAATCCTTCTGTTCATCTTGTTCTCGCACGCGTTGGTGTTTCTTAGAAAAACGAGAATGTGCATTGCTAAATTGCTAACATGAACAATGGTATAGTTTGCATATCTACTGTACAATTCTGCTCTGTTTGGGTATGAGACAACCTACAAGAGGTAAAAAACTATATCATAATAACTTCTTAACCTTGTGTTGCATCACAGGAATCATCTACAAATGAAACCAGAAGTTTGCACACAATGAATTAAAATAAATAAATAAAATCCACATTTGTTCCGTTACTGTCTGAAGTTAAATCGAACCAAACTTTTATAATACACTTAACACTTTGGCTGTATGTTGAGGGTTATTGTCCATTAAGACCATTCAACACCAAAGCTCCTCCTTCCTGGTTGATGTAGTTAGATGTTGCTTCAATATTTCTACACAACGTTTTTTTCTAATCATGCAGTCTAGTTTATGAAGTGCACCAGTTCCTCCTGCAGCAAAACAGCCCCACCATTCTTCACACTTGGAATGGTACAAGCATCCCATTTTTTTTCCTCCAAATGTATTGATGATCATTAACTAAACAGTTCCACTTCAGAGTTATCAGACCACAGAATGTGTCTCTAATAATGAAGATCCTTGTCCTGGTGTGCATCTGCAAACTGCAATCTGGCTTTTCATTTTTCCTCTGGAGTAATTTCTTCCTCCTCACCGAGTGGCCTGTCAGTCCATGTCGGTACAAGATATGCTTCACTGCGGACAATGACACTATCTTCTTTACTTCAGCCTGCATCTACACAAGGTTTTTTGCTTTAGTTCTGGGGTCCATTTCTGACCAAAACAAGTCAATCTCTGGCTCCAATTAGCTCAAATGTGCAAGTTAACCTATCAGAAGTTTACAAAGCCATGACCTTGTGTCATTAAGCAAATAAAAATACATTTAGTAAATGTAACCTAAAGCAAGACAAGTTTGGTCTGATTAAGATTCAGACAGTGAAAAAAAAAGTGTTTGCAATTTTTCACTCACTGTGTGTGTGATTTCAACCGTAGAACCTGCCCTTAAGAAAAAGTATTGGTGACTTCATTTTGCATTAAGTTTCCAACATTTGCCTTAATATGTTCTTGCTTTACATAGGCAATTTTCTTAAAACAAAGTCTTATTTTAAGACTAAAAGTAGATGACATTTTTGACATTTGAAGTAGTTGGTCCGTAAAACTGCATCACCCCAACATCTTGTTATCAACCTGTGGTTAAAAGACAATAATGAAGACATAATAACACAAAAGAGTTGTTTTTGTATCTGCAGCATATCATAACGTGCAACTAGGAGAAATGTTAGTCTGTTCAATTGGCTTTTTATCTGCCTTTTCCTATACGCCTGCTGTACTTGACCTAAGTCATCTATGTTCTCAGTTTGCCATAGAAACTAATTGCTGATCACTGAAAATATTTTATTCATAAAATGCATAATCATTTTCAGAAATGCATGTAGCAAAAAACATCACACACACACACACACACGCACACACACACATACACAGACACACACACACCTAAACACACATAAACACACACACACACATACACTTACACACACACACACAAACAC